TTCATGTTTTCCTTTGGGCTTCAGTGTCTATAGTGTTTTATAATTACTCCTTAGGTTTGATCTTGCTTGATTGGAGCCCGTTCTCAATGAAAGCTTGGCTTTTCATCAAAAAAGATAAAAATAAAAAATAAAATTGTCGGTGAACCCAATTATCGGAAGGGCAGATGAAATTGTCCATTCCTCATAAAAATAATTCCAATCTTCTAGGAATCTTAAGTATAGGTTTATATGTAAATTATGATCCTAGGAAGTTCTGACTGAAGCACAACTTCAATGTCTATTGCAATCTTGTAAGGATCAGAATGAGGTTCTTTCTAATGTTAGTTTCTTAGGAAGTTCCCACTATCTTTTGAGGTTTGACATGTTATGGGGAGTAAGTTCAGCTTCAGCTTCAGATAAATTCACAGATGGACTGGTGCCAACTGATTTGTTATTTTATCTATGTTTCACTATAGTCATCGATCCTCAACAATTTTAAGCAATATAGTTTGTTTCGATGGGATAAAATTGTGAAATACAAGGTCATACAAGATACAAATTATAACAATTTTCTCATAAGAAAAGAATCAATGATTTCTGCCATAATCAACTTATATATTGAGCTCTGATTAATAACAAATAAAATAAAATCAACCTTGTGTTGTAGCAAATAACTGATTAACATTGGTTCACGTTCTCTGTAGTTAGTCATCGACTCTTTGTGAGGCATATTATCTCTCAGGCTTTTCAAGCTAATATTTGCTGGATCCTTTCATCTGAATGCATAAATTATCAAATCGAGCCATAGAAAACCATTGTTTTGTCACCACAGTAAGGGGCTGGGTTAAATACACAAAACTAACTAATCTTGTGGGAACTTAGGGGTGTAAGTTGCTGTTGGTTGGTTAACTTTGATTTTGGTCCCCTCGGTATAAATCTGACATTGAGCTTATGTGTCGGTTCAGCAAAAATTTAAGATAAAACCGCATTGACTGCCTGAAGAAACCATCGAAAACCATGTGAACACAACCCAACCACAATAGTTTGTCTCAAAGTTCTATAAAAAACCACATCAACTGGACCAGGCATGGCATGGTAACAAAGCAGTTCAGTTCTGTTTGTTGGTCTTGCTTGTTGCTTTGGCATTTCAAAAATGCATTCCCTTCCCCAAGTATGAAGGTTCATCACAGTTTAGCGAGTTATTTGGTAAATTTTATGTTGGTTAATTAAGTCTGAAATGTATAATCTCAACTAGAATTAAGCAGATCACTCGTACTTCTTTGGGACCATTGCGTATGTATGCACATCAGCAAGTGTACACGGTCGATTTGTAATCATCATAGGTGAAGTAACAGGGTCTTAATAGAGAAAAGTGAAGGACTCAATTTCTAGGTGTCAGATATGATCCATAGTTGGACCGGACCTTAGATGCGATGGCATGAAACTATAAAAATGATATTGAGTAAAGAAACTGAGGCAAAATGGATACATTTTCTTTGCTTCAAGAAACCAGAAGAAACTGAGGTGTAAAAATATTTGTCTATCTTCTTGGATTAGATGCTCATTTGTCCATGCTTCTGTTTCTTGGTTTATGTTTTTATTTCATTTTGCAACTGCACCATACTAGTTAGCATTTACTAGAGCTAGTGTATGTGCACGTTATATTAGAGATCTGCACTGCAAATTGAAACTGGTTAGCTGCTTTTTTAATGAAACTTAGTTATTGGTTGTAGACCTCTGCCAATGCCAAAAGTAAGCAAGACTGGGAAATATGGACGACGTGGAGATAAGAAGGTTGCCATTTTTCGTAAATTTTTAGACTTCATTAAATATTTTTATCATGTTGAATTTTTAATCTATTTTGATCTGATAATTAGTGTTGTTAACTTGGCCGAACAATTAGTATTTTTAGTTCTTCAACAATTCATTGATTGTCTTCCATTTTTTACCCCTTCACTTCGATTAGCAATTACATCTGTTATGTTTCACAAACCCAGTGATGAACTGCCATTCACCTTTGAAAAGATGTATGGATTCTCCACAGTTGATGGCTTTGTGGAGATAACCGAAAGCTTGGCAGAGATGATCAAGTATATTGCAAATGAACCTTCAACTGGATTATTCTATATTCAGCAGCATACACAAAATGCTGTTCCCAATGTTGTCGGTCTGAGAAATCGTGTGGTGGACAAGTCTCATGAAACAACTCTGCACACAGAAGATTCAGAGGATTCGATTACCATGTTGCGGTCGATGAAAGAATATGGGTTTCCTATTGCTGATGAGATGATCAGAGACATAAAGAAGTCTCTTGCTATCATGTCAACCAAACAACCAAGAAGGGGCTTGATCCACAACACTTCTGGTGTGCAGAAGACAGGGAGAATAAGCACTTGGAGATCGGCCACGTGGGGGCGAAGTGCAATTGTTGCCCCGCACAACGAATACAGTGGTGGTTATATTTCAACGGTATTCAAGTCAGCTAGAGAAAAGGCCAGCAACTTTAAGTGGCCACAGCTTGACATCAAAGACGATCTGGCACAAGTTGAAGTCGATAAACTACACCCACAATCTAACCAACCATCAGTTGCATCCGCTAGTTCTAGTTCATCACAGCCAGATTTGGGCTCTACTAATGAGCTGCCGCTGTCTAGTCAAGTTAACGATGAGTTGCAACGAGACGACCAGGTTGACGCCAGTTTGGACCCCGATTTACTTTCGGGGTCCGATAACTTCGATGATTTCAGGGCTGATAAGGAAGCAAAATTGGAGGAGTGGTTGGGAGGGGCTGGCGGCTTGGATAAGCTTATAGATTTGAGCGCAGGGAAAGACCATTCACGGGGAGTTGACAATGCTTAATTTAACTGTAAAAATGATGAATTAAAAACCACTTCAAACACATGTACTTTTCTTCCATCATTTTGGCCAACCATTAACTTCTAGGGACGTCTTTCCATGAGTTGTACTAGTAAAGAGTTGTGTTCTTATAGCTTTGTAACATCATCTTATTGGAATAAATATTTGTGGGGCGTTGTCTATTAATTAATTTTTTTTTCTTTTCTTTCAGCAGACTACATTTTTGTTATAAAGTAAATAAACTTTTTACAAAACACTGATGATGATGATTATTATTAGTTTACAAAACACTGATGATGATGATTATTATTATTTTAAATTCATCAAAATGGGAGGCTTGAAAAGTTAATAATGCATCGTCTATTAAATCATGTTTAGATCAATAGAAAAGAGAACGAATTAGTTATTCTTTATTGCGAATGGAGTGGGAAACAATTTTTAACCTGATATTACAAAAAAAATGATGATAATAATAAAATTCAAACTTATAACTTCCTAACCCTTTTAAGCTATCTTCAAATCTGGATAAAGCTTCAACTACCACCGTTCCAAAGGTAAACCATTTGACCCTCCACCCCTGCAATTTTTAGGCTAAAAAATGAAGAAGAATATTGGTTTTTTACCCAAAAAGATTAGGAATATAATAAGATCTCCACAAAATTAGTAATAAGTTATGATAAAAACAAATTATATTCCAATCTGTGTCTAAAATACAACTAAAACTAACATTTCCACTCGGCTTTCTCTCCATTATTGCAGTATACAAGTAAACATTTTGCCAATCAACTTACATCTGGAACAGAAGTAACCAATAAAGTGGAAGGCCTACAAAGGAAATGTAGAAGCAAGAGACCTTTAAAGTCCAAGAATGCCTATAAACCATTTCATTCTATTCAGCACACTTCTCAGCAACCACTTGTCTCCATTTTTACATTCACTGAGAATAGGATAAAAAGTTGCTCTCTAATTAACAATTCTAATCATCGACTTGAAGTACATAATTCAAAGTCTTTCACCCAACACCACATGCGATGTCCACATTGGTTGCTTTGATTCCCTTGAGCCCTCATCATAAGGCTGTACCAGGTGCTGAAGCTTTTCCACAGCAAAATAACCTTGGCATCTAAAGACTACAGCCATGGCTAGTGGCTGATTCTATTTCCGGGTCAGTAATATCAGTTATATTGAGGAACTTAGTTTAATCAGATGTTCCAATTGTGTCATTGTAAGCCTTTGATCAATGAATCCCAGGTAGGAGACGTCATCTGCAGCTCAGCCAGCTCCAAAGGGAGCTACGTTTTGATGGCTTGGAAGCAAAAGGTTGCCCCTTCAATGATCAATTGCATCGAAAGTCTGAGAAGAAATCTACTCATTGCTTCAGTGTATCATGTTGGTTTTGATCTGTGAGAGGCACCAGAAATTCCATCAGGGGAAGGTTGGATCATGACATGTATTTTGGACAAGAAAATAGAGTGAAAAACCAATCTTATCAGTCGTTGACCATTGCAAGAAAAAAAGAAGATGAAAACACATACCTTTCTTTTCTGATTAAAACACAAAATAGTTAATAAGTAAATGTAAAATAGGTCTGGAGATGAGTTATTCAACATAACCAAACACTTCAATACAGCGCAAGGGGTTGTTAAATCATTACATTCCAGGTAAGGGAGCTAGTTGGTTATTTAGCTAAGGCTCGATTTAATAACAATGGAAAATCCATTCTCAAAAAAATCTGAAACGTACCCCTCACCAAGGTGCGACAACATCCAACTTATAATTAAGTGGATCAGACTATTTACCTGGACGAAGGGCTGCTGCAGACGAGTCTTGATCCATCGGTTTAATGTTCTCCGATACTCGATCATTTAATGTGCTTGAAACAGGAGGAGCTGCTAATCTACTACTGTTTCTCACTATTTTGGCCCTCCTAAAGAAGAGAAGCAAAATTACCAAGTTTGGAAAATCAATCTCGTATAACAGATTGTCAAAGTAAAAGGGGATAAGAGATATTAAGACATTTAAAAGTACCTAACTGCTTTTCGCTTCAGAGTGCTGGTTTTCAACTTCAATGTCCCTTTTGAAAACCAAGTAAAAGTTCAAATTTTATCTACAGTAAATTTGACTGAAATGAGGGAAAAGTGGATCATGCTCACCTGATTTAAGAGCTAAATAAGTTGAGGACGGTTTCTTACTCCCCCTTTCAGCTTTAATGGAAGCAATCACAGAATCGGCATTAGAACCCAAACCTTTTCTACCCACTAGCTTCACCCCTAGCGTTTCACAAAGGTAATGCAATCTCATTTCATCACCCCCTCGCACCTCCCTCAGTTCAAGCGCCTGTTGCCTTGACAATAGAGTATAAACATGAAGCTGTTGCTGCTGACTAAAATGTGATTGAAGTTGTTGGAAAAGCAACTTATTTGTGTGCTGTTGGTCTGATTTTGAACCTTCATGGTTCTTCTTCTGTGGATCATTGAATGTCACCCTTAGAATGACTGTTGACTTAGGATCAGCATTCTTTCGACCCAAGATGAATGAGAAGCTTCCAAATTCTAAATCCGGCTCTCGAAATAGATCTGCAAGAAGACAGGCACAAGAGTGTGCATTTTTGGAAGGGCTTCTATCTATCTTCAGCCTCAAATCTCGAGCATTGGCAAATTTGGCCATATTGGCTGCTTCTCTTAGTCCACTGAGAAAAGCGCCATGCATAGTTGCAGGATATCGCCTTGTAGTCGCCTCGCCTGCAAAAAAGAGTCTTCCATCTCCCACATTTTCTGCGAGAATGTCATAGTCATCACCTGAGGCCCCCACTGCAACATTTGAGTAGGAGCCTAGACTAAATGGATCACTAGCCCATCTCGTACAGACTGTCTGAATAGGCTCTGGGACATCAATTCCTTGGGGTTCATAGATACCTGCATCCCTTTATGCTAAGAATCTTTTAACAAGAGTAATCATTTCAAAGATATATATTAAAAAAACACTTCTGTAAGAATATACGATAAAGACAACTAACAACTAATAAACAATATCTCATAAAAAAATGGTTCCACTGAGAGCACACAGTACTAAAACTAAAAAAAAAGGAAAAAGATAAAGACACAAAGGTAGAGAAAAAAAGTTAGGATTCTCTTGATTGGAAGTTTCTAAAAGTGATGTACCGATGTATCTTAATTTTCTCTTAAAAAGTTCCTTTCTTGCTAAAATCTTTCATCTGAGGCATTCTTTAATAAAAATTCTTACTTTCCCATAAAAAGGAAAGCTTTCAGAGGAAAGAATGACAAAAATAAATCAATGCAATTTAGGAAGACACGATCAAAGGACATCAATTAAAATCTAGGATTTCAAATATACGATTCCTATCCAAATCTCGAGTGTGCTAGAAAAGTCTAACTGCAATATCCCTGTCTCATAAATATGTCCCATTTATTCTTGCCCCTTGCCGTAAAAAATCTAACATGTGACCATGCAACGTCTAACAACCTTCACAAGAAGGAAATGGTTGACAAATTTGTTGGAGACAGTTCAAGTTCAGGGACTCCATACAGAAAAAAGGCGTGAGCATAAGACTATTACCCTTAAGAATTTCAATAACCCGGGTCACAGCATCTGTTGGGGGCATGCTCTCAAATTTATGAGCAGCTTCACCTGCAACCAAGGCTATCAACAGAGGACCACCAGCAACAGTTGCATAGTTGTAAAATAGAAAAAATTCTCCTCGACGACTTGGATCATCAGATAGGTGGCCAAAGGTATCAAGATCCATTTCCCAAAATACACGAGGAAAAAGCATAGCAACCTTATTCAACAATCCAAAACCCAATCTCTTTATTCCATCTAGCTTTCTCTGAGGCAATTCTGGGATGAACTTAATAGAACCACTCTTCAAAACTCCAAGAGGTACAGTGCACAAAGCCATATCACCTTCAAATACCTGATTTCCAGCAATAACCTGCACACCATGACCACTGTATCTGATGGTGTGCACTGTTTTCTCGTATAAAATTGAAACATTTTCAGCCAATGCTTGAATCAACCTTCCATTGCCCCCAGCCAAGAAGCAATGATCCCCTCCCATGTCATACGGATCATCTTGGTCCCAGAATGCAAGTGAAAGCTTTGACAGCAAACCTGCATTTGCATATTCTAAATTAGCAAGATGCCAATTGAACAAGTTCATTTCTTCACCATTTGCTGCATCCCCATGAGCCTGCCAGAACGTTTCCAGTGCTGCACCAAGAGAAACATCAACAGAAACCTCGCCCATTGACTGCCTAAGCATACTTGCCTTATCCAAGAGATTGTTGAATGCAGTTTCCACCCTCAAGTCCATATCAGGATCCACGGGCCTCCCGTCCAGACTATAAAGTGGACACTTATCTCTAACCTTATGAAGAGAGTAGCCTAATTGTCTGGCCATAATCCCGAGTGGGTTTCCCAAAGTACCTGTCAAAACACTCCCACCTAAATCTGCAGCTGCACATACCCTATTTCCTCCCTCCATCTTCTTAGTATATACCCGCCCGCCTGCCCGCTTCCTACCCTCCAAAACAGTCACTTTAAAACCAAAACGCATCAGTTGCCTAGCAGCAGCCAGGCCTGCCAGTCCTGCCCCAACCACGATTACACTGGGCTTAGATGGTTCGGCAGGAATTTTTTCTTTGATTGCAGGGGCAACCCCAAAATTTATATACCCATGTGAAACCAAATAATTATAAGCAGTGTCTAGTAAAGTATCACAATGTGCAGGTATAGAATCAATGAACATCTCCTTAGTCACCCAATTCGACACATTTTCACGCCATTTAGCAATAAGGTGATTCCGAATAATGATATAGTTCACCTGTTCAATACCTCCGATGACAGAGACCACCCGAGCATCGATTTCGTCCTCGGTTAGGTGATCGGCAGGAAAACCGGCCGTCAGCGCAAGCAAAGCCTCGGCAGTGGATTCTTTATTAATGACGATAATCTCGTCGGCCACATCTGGGACGTTCGGCACGGAAGCGCTAGAAATTTCAACGCTATTTCTGAGTGCTGGTGTTGAAACTGATGAAGAGGAATAGACAATGCCATTGTTGCCATTGAAATTGCCGTTAGGAAGGGGATTGAAGTTAAACGATGTGACACTTCGCTGAGGTCTGCCTCTTCTCCGCTTCTTGGGAACTGGGAATGGAAAAAACTGGCTCGAACCAAAATTAGGGTTCAGACTTGGAGTGATGCCCGTGGTGATCGTTGTGTCGGAATTAGGATTAATGTTGAGGCTAAAATTATCTTCCGGCAAAAAGAGGGTGAATGGAATCGGCGGGAACGCATCAAATAGTTCGGAACTCTGGTCCGACGAATCCATGATCTGCCGGCGATAGCGACTCCGAATAACTGATGCGACGGTCGTCGGCGGAGAGAAAATTAAGGGACGGTTTGGTTCTTACCCGGCGATGGGTAAAATTGGAGACCGACCTGGGAATCTACTTTACAAAAATACCCTCCTCATTTTTTTTTCCTTATTAATAAAATCGTCGCCATTTTATTATTTAGTCTATATTTTATTATTTTGTTTTTTTAGGAAAAAAAAAACTAATCAATGTGTGCTCCATCATCCAGATGGGAAACCCAAGAATCCACTCTTTGATAGCTCTTCGGGCAATACCATGGGATGCTCCATTTGCATCTCGCTGGATGTGCACCTTCGAAACCAGATTGATCTCTTCATCTTTCTTTTTGTATCTTGGAGTAGCCATCAAATTTCATTCAGATTTTGAATTCGTCCGCGAAGAAGCTCAACCACCTCTAGAGAATCGATCTCTAAGTAGATTGGTTTTTGAATTTCAGTCCCAATTGAATCCAAACTCTTGCAAATCGTAAACATTTCAAGGTAAGTAATCTATCTTTCTTCTCTAATCACTTCACAGCCCGCCTTCAAAATTTATCCTTTATCGTTTATGAGTATCCAACCCAACCCAACCCACCAAATCTCCTTTATGCACTCCAGGCCGCGTCGGTATTGAGCTTCCATGATCCTGCCGGGGGAGGGGTCCATCAAAATAGTTAAAGTATTTTCTTCTCTACATATTTGGTACGCTTCTTCCAAACGACTTGATAATTTCCTGAAATTGTGCCATTGTTTGATAATGTAGTTCTCTAAATAGATGTATGTGGTGATGAACGTGGATTGAGAAAAATATTAATCTTATGTTGGATGTCTGTAGTGCTTGAAATTTCTCCTTTAAAAATCGCTCGGTTCCTAGCCTCCCAAATCTGCCATGTTGTGATAAAAAATTTTAGGCTAAAATACACTTTTAGTCAATGAGTTTGAGGAGAAGTGTCTATTTGGTTCTTAAGTTTCAAAAAATAATTTGGTTACTAACTTTTAGAAAATGGTTATAAATAGTCCATAAACTTATTTGACCGTTAGTTGACTAACAGAAAAATGACATGGCATAATTGAGTGGTTAAGTTTTAAATGACGTGACAATGTTAAATAAATTTATATTATTTTTATGATATGTGGTCAAATTTTAAATGACGTGAGATATCATCGGCATAAAATTAAAATTTTAAAATATGGTTAAATATTTTTATAGTTAAATCATCTATTAGACTCCTTACGATTTATGGAAAGACAGAGAATAAATTTATAAATAAAGCAACCAAAAAAAAAAAAAAGAAAACAATAAAGCGAAAGAGAAAATTTCAGCAGAAGGAAGAAGCAGCGGCGAGAGGAACAGATCGCGGAGTCCTCAGAGCTGTGCTGACACAGAAGAAAGCCGAATTTGTGTCTTCATGCCACCGCCCCACTCCACAGAAATCTCTTCCCATAACGCTACAACAAGACAAATTCCAGAGCTTTATCTGCCGTGACTTCGCGATCCTCAATAACCCACTGCTGGGTTCTTGGATAAGCAATTTCAATAACCGGCTGCTTGGTCTTCTAGGGTTTTCTGTGAGTTCTTATTTCTCTCCTTTCGCCTTTTCTACATTCCTCTCATTGTAAGCATTAGATTATGAATGGAGAATGAAGATGCTGTTTTTAGATTTGATGTTCTTTGAATTGTTTGATGATGTGATATTTTAGCTGGGTGTTAAGAAAGTATAAGTTATTCTTCGTTATTTATATTTGAGACGGATGATACCTCATGGAGGAAATTAGTGCTGGCGTTGGATCCGAAACATTGAGGTGTTTGTGTTTCAGCTGAGACATGAAAGTATTAGCATTAGTAGCGAAAATGGTAGATAGGCTCAAATTGTTTTGTTTGTTATTTGCAATCTATTGATAGCTGTATGTTGTACACGATTTCATGGTTAGATTGAATCCAATTTCTATCGATTTGGTGGGTCATTGACAATAAAATATTGTTGACAAACCTCCGTTTAGCGATAAGGGTGGGTTTTTGTGGCAGGCAGGCGGGTTTTTTTGTTGTTTTTTTATGAGATTTGTGGTATGAGAGGAACAACAGGATTGTTAGGTGGACGAAGAGATATGGGGAGGAGGTGTGGGTCGTTGCCCGGTTTCATGTTTTCATTTGGGCTTCAGCGTCTAAAGTGTTTTGCTAATGTTTGCTGAATCCATTCATTTGAATGCATAAATTATCAAATCGAGCCATAGAAAACCATTGTTTTGTCACCACAGTAAAGGGCTGTGTTAAATACACAAAACTAACTAATCTTGTGGGAACTTAGGGGTGTAAGTTGTTGTTGGTTGGTTGAACTAACTAATCTTGTGGGAACCTAGCGGTGTAAGTTGCTGTTGGTTGGTTGACTTTGATTTTGGCCCCCTCGGTATAAATCTAACATTGAGCTTATGTGTCGGTTCAGCAAAAATTTAAGATAAAACTGCATTGACTGTCGGAAAAAACCATCGAAAACCATGTGAAAACAACCCAACCACAATAGTTTGTCTCAAAGTTCTATAAAAAACCACATCAACTGGACCAAACATGGCATGGTAACAAAGCAGTTCAGTCCCGTTTGTTGGTCTTGCTCGTTGTGCTTTGGCATTTCAAAAATGCATTCCCTTCCCTAAGTATGAAGGTTCATCACAGTTTAGCCGAGTTATGTGGTAAATTTTATGTTGGTTAATCAGGTCTGAAATGTATAATCTCAACTAGAATTAAGCAGATCATTCGTACTTCTTTGGGACCATTGCATATGTATGCACGTCAGCAAGTGTACACGGTCGATTTGTAATCATCATAGGTGAAGTAACAGGGTCTTAATAGAGAAAAGTGAAGGACTCAATTTCTGGTGTCAGATGTGATCCATAGTTGGACCTTACATGCGATGGCATGAAACTATAAAGCGGCCAATCATCAGCCCACAATAAACCCATAGTAAATCCCTCTCATAATCATGCCCCCACTTGGGTCACATGCCCACATAACCTAGCTCGGAGAGACATTGTCAAGCCTTATCCTTCGATTAAGGACAGAATCACCTTTCGCTTGGGCAATGGCTCCCTTCCTCGGTTTTGGAAAGATGTTTGGATCAACAATGAGCCCTTATGCCGCACCTACCCCCTTCTTTTGCTCTTCATTCCAGAAAATCTGATTTTGTTAAGAATTTCTAGTCTTTGGAATCTCACTCCTGGGATATTCACTTTTGGCGCAACCTTAAGGATGCATAAATATCTGAGCTGGCAGCACTTCTCCATAATTTACCCTCCCATCGGCCCTCTATAAATTTGGTACCTACATTTGGAGTTTGGAATCTCATGGCTCCTTTGCCACAAGCTCGCTTATTAAAGACCTTAACAGGCCCATCTCACCTACTGCTCCAACGGATTTGTATCGGGCCATCTAGAGGGATTCGTATCCAAAGACGATCAAATTCTTCTTGTGGGAAACTAGCCTTCACGCATTGAATACGCACGACAAACTCTAGAGAAGATTGTCTTTCAAGACCCTGTCGCCAATGCGTGAAGGCTAGTTTCCCACCAGAAGAATTTGATCGTCTTTGGATACGAATCCCTCTAGATGGCCCGATACAAATCTGTTGAGAATAGGAGGGTATCATGAGGAGGGTACCATGAGGAGGATCGCCCACCGAAAAGCCCTCAATTGATCCAGAACTGCTAGCATGGGAGAGAAGCCTGCTGAAACAATCAACAACTAAAATAAAGAGAAAGGGGAAAGGGGGTTTAAAGTCTGGTTTGGGCTTTAAAGTATCCTCAAGTGAAAAAACGAGACTGTGGTTTTTTTTTTTTTAACAAGATATGAACTTTTAATTGATAGATGAAAAGGAACAATATTGTTCAAAAATACAAAAATACAAACTCCCGAAGGGGTGAGAGTGAAAAACAAGAAATAGAATATAAAACATAGGACAAAACTACAAAGGAGAAATAAAGGCCTCCCAATTCATACAAATCATACTAGGGGAATACAAAGAAAAAATATCGGAAAGAGCAAACCATTGAGCAGCTTTGAATTTGGCAATGTTGAAGCATTCTAATGACGTACGACCAGAATCTTCAAATATCCTTTGATTCCTCTCAAACCATAATTTTGAGATGATTGCCTTAAACCCATGAATCCAAAGTAGATTAGCTTTTGGTACCAACCAAACTCCATGGAGAAGCTGAAAAATATTATTGATCCCACACCCATGCTAATTCGAACATCTGGAACAAAAGATTCCAACAAGCAGCAGTATATGGGCAGAAAAAGAAAACGTGACTCAAACCTTCCCCCTTTTCATAAACAGATGGATGGTTGCAAAGCCATTTTAGGAGTCTTCCTTTGTATAACCTATGCTGTATTGACCTTGCCATATAAGAGCCTGTAACTGTTGGTACTACCATCCATTTGACACACATATCTCTAATGTCTATTTTGAAATTAGTTTCTTAAAATGAAGGAAGGGAGTTGTTGCTTTTGTGCTGCATTTTTTTTCCTGTAGAGAGTATATGCTTCTCCAGGGGGAGATATCATGACATGCATTAAGTTCATTTTAGGACTGTTATTTGTGGATGCTGTGCTATTATGTTTTTGTTTCTTATTATAATAGGTAGTTTTGCCCTTTCAGCTTGGTTTCAAGAATCAGTTGAATGACTTGAGTTGTGCTTCGACAACTACCTGCTGCTCTTTCTTAGGTAAAGGCTCAAGATGGGAATTTTTGATGGCTTGCCAGTACCTCCTGAGAAAGCTGTGAGTCTTCTTTTAGACATTCATTTTCATGTAGTTCAGGAATGCATCTCCCCAAGCAGTGATATTAAAAAATATCCCACTCAAGAATAATAAGATGAATTGAGTAATTACAAAAATGCTTATGTAAAGACTCCAACTAGATACTGCATGTGTGCAAATATGTCACCTATCATATCTGGTGCATTTGGAAAGAAAGTAACAATAGCATTTTTGGAGATGAGGAAGGTGCTAAGTCTTTTGCAGAGTTGTTTATTTATTGACTTCATTATGGATGTGTTTTTCTAGTTGTTATGGTTTACTTTCATCTTTTATTTTCTTTGTTATCGTGGGTAGTTCTTTGCTTGTTTTATAGGACTTATTGCTCTTCCTTTTTATATGATATTTCCTCTATTTGCTCCATTTGTATTTGTGAGTCTTAATGAAGAAAAGCATAAAACTGGACTTATTTGATTCTTCCAGTACATTAACTACTGAAATGATGGAAATTTTCTAATTTTCCTAGTCATCATTATTCTGCAATTAAATCCCTTTGTTTTCTATAAAAGAAATGTAGCCAATGACTTTTGAACAAGTTTTGTTAAATATCAACATTGAGTTTGACAATTTCCTTGAAACCATGTGCAAATTATCTTTATATCTGAACATTTATGTTAAACGCAGTATTTGAAGGATGAACTTTCCAGAGTAGATGAGAGTTGGGCTACTGCACGGTTTGATTCACTTCCTCATGTTGTACATATTTTGACATCAAAAGATCGTGACGGGGAAGCACAAATTTTAAAGGAGCAGAGTGATGTTATTGAGGAAGTTGTGGATGAAGTCGTGCATGCTTTTCACAGTGGTTTCAACAAAGCCATTCAAAATTACTCCCAGGTTTATTTAGACTTTTACTTACCTGAATGCTCCCTTCTACTCACTGATTAGGGATTCAAATGTTCACTTGGACTCTCAGTTAGTCATTAATCTTGCATCATATTTTCTTTTAGGTGAACCCATTATTGGCATAGAGTTTTCCTTGATCTAATAAGTAGCTCGTTTCATTCATTAAATAAATATTTGATGTATATTGCAATTTTCTGCCTTACTCATTTCCCCCCTTCTCTCTTGTATTTGTTGCAGAATTCTCTGTAATTTGTTATAAAACTAAATCTTGTTCTAGGCTTTTAGCTGAGTGGTGATGCAGGATTTACTGGGCGTGGATTTGAATATTTTTATTGATTTTTCTTCAGATATTGCGGTTATTTAGTGAATCTGCCGAAAGTATAGCAGTTTTGAAGGTTGATTTAGCTGATACAAAAAGAAGTTTCAGTGCCCGCAGTAAGCAGTTGCATCAGCTATGGTATCGTTCAGTTACATTGCGTCATATTATATCCCTCCTAGATCAAATTGAGGGCATTGCTAAGGTATGCCTCTTTTTATTTTCTGGCAGTTTTTGAAGGTTTGTATAAATCAAATATTGATGTTTGGTCGGTTGTTTTGGCCAAAACCAAGGCCGAGAGTGAGTGAGATCGGAGAAAGGTTGATGGACGCTAGAGGGAGATGGAGTTAGGGTGTGCTTGCTGTTGCGTGGCTGAGAGGGCTTAGATGTCAGTGGAGAAGTGAGAGGGGAGTGATGTGGAAAACCGAGAGGGAGATAGAGAGGGCTGAGAGCATGAGATGAAGACTTGAGGAGGGGAGAGCCGTAGAGGAGGGGAGGGTAGTGGGGAGGCGTGTGGTGGTGTGGGCCTACTATGAGATAGATGGGGGATTGAGTGAAAGAGAAAGTGATGAGGGTGTGCAGTTGTAGAGCTGGCGTGGCGGTTATTAATATATATATATATATATATATAAATTGTTCTTGAAACAAAAAATTATTGGTTTTCTTTAAGAGAGCAGTAGCTCTTGTTTGTTTTTTCCCTTATCTTTTTGTTGTTTTTTTTTTCTTTAATTTATCAATATGTTGGTTGGTCAAAAATTACTTTTGGCCAAACTAACTGACCAACATGTCGGTTTTGTAAACTGACCGACATTGGTTTGTTGGTTTTTCAGGTTTGAATGTTCACCCCTATACCAAGAGTTAATTTCTAGTCTTCAATAAAAATATTTTAGTGAAAATGTTCGCCCTGGGGTGATGATTTGAGGTAGTCTTGTGGCCATTGCCGGGAGTGGCAGTGACTAGTTTCGGCCATCGCGGATTTTTTGTGATTTTGTGCTTCAGTTGTGAACAGAAAATGTTGTTATTCATTCCCAATAGTTGTGAACAGTCATAATATTCTTCTGAAACACGTGTCAGGTTCCAGGACGAATTGAGAAACTGATTGCAGAAAAGCAGTTTTATGCAGCAGTTCAGCTGCATGTGCAATCTGCATTAATGCTTGAGCGAGAAGGGCTTCAAACAGTAAGTTTATTAAGGAAATTTAGCTGACAACTTTTTTGTTGCCACAGGAACATTTATATTCACTTTTCCTTTCTGGTGTGACTATTGCTCCATGTTTGGTAGGGAGAGATGGGAGGAATGGGAGGGTAGAGAGTGAAAAGGGAAGGGAGCATGGGTAATTGTGGTTAATTTCCGTTTATGAGTGAACTGGGTTAGGGCTTATAGCATGATTTCATAAGATTTGATATAGTATGCTAATTTTTTTCATCCCATATAAATTCTATTCAGCACCCGTCATTGCTATTTCATATTAATGCTTCAGAAGTTTCTCTTCTGGTTCCTCATGGACACACATATCATTATTATTTCAAGTACTTGAAGGATGTTTGCTTTATCGTGGATGCCCTGTGTGACACCAATTCACATGCTAGGTTGGTGCACTTCAAGATGTGCGATCAGAGTTGACGAAATTACGGGGAGTCATTTTTTATAAAGTTTTGGAGGATTTGCATGCCCATCTTTATAATAAGGGTGAATACAGGTATTTTATTTCTTCTTCATCTTCTTGTTTGCTTGTAGGTGACACTTGGTTAGAAGTCAAGTTATTTACTCACTGGCATTACCTTGTGTCATTTTGTAAGTTGCAAACGAAATGATGCCAGCATTTTGGTTCTTCCTCGTTTTTTTTTTCTGCCTTGTGGGTGTTTGTATATTTGTATTTTTAATGGCTAGAGATGTTATGTTATGCTTTGTGTTTATGCATGAGGTAGGTATTATCTACTACACCTTACTGGTCATTGGTACTTTCTCATTGTTGGTTGTGGTTCATGTTTTTTTAAGAAGAAACAATTTCATTGATATATGAAATTAAAGTACAAGATAGGGAGCTCCCTAACCCATTCCAAGGTAAAAACTTCTCCAATTGGATAACAATGAAGAGTAACTGTAGTGATGTAAGAGAGGAACATTTACACCATATAACGACCAAGAAATCTAATGATTCAATTCAAAAGAACGGTCAATTGGTTGTTCCTTGTCTTGAAAAATCCTAGGGTTCTGTTACATCCAAATAGACCAAAATAATGTCAAAAGAAAAAAAACGCATCCAGAGGATTTTTCTTTCTCCTTGGCAAAAGGGTGATCCATGAGTGTGTATGCCATGGGAGACTCATGTCGGTGGGAAGAGCTGTGGACAATCCCAAAAGACAAAGATCTTACTCCATACTCTTGAAGAATAGTTGCAAGAGACAAAGATGTGGCCTTGTGGTTGTGCCATTGTGATTCATGTTATTGCCTTTAAATCAATTTTGATGTATGTTACAATTACGGACAAAATTATTTATTTAATCTTAATGAATGGTATGTTATAATTCGAATATTGTTTTGATTCTTGAATTTTTGGGAAGAGTGGTCTAGGGGGAAGAAGATGTCTCAGGGGAGATTCGGTCCAACACTTGATGTTTTCTGGCTACTCTATGGGTATTTGGCAGGAGAGAAACAATAGAATTTTTAGGGGAGTGGAGGGATCTGTGTGAGATATTATTAGATTTAACACTTCTTTATGGAGATTGGTCACTAAGGCTTTTTGTAATTATCAGTTAGGAGCGATCCCTGGATCGGAGCCCGTTTCTTTAGGGGTTCCCTGTTGCTGGGCTGTTTTTTTGTATGCCCTCTTTTTGTAGTTTTTATTCATTTATCTCCATGAAAGTGCAAGTGCAGTTTCTTATAAAAAAAAACACTTGGTTCAATACCTCCTTCTGGGTGCCAGTGACTATAGAGTTTTGTATTTATCCATTGTTACTTTTGATTATTTGAACTTGGTCTCTTATTTTTTTGATTAAATGTTCAAACTAGTTCTCGATGTTGACTTCTTTAGTTGGATTTAATTGTTGGGACTTAAAAGGTGCATCATCATGAAGCATTTTAATAATTGTTCTCAATGGCTTAAAGCTGGTAAAAAAAATTGAACGAAAAGAATATCTGAGATATACAAATGATATATCGTTTGTGTATTTGCTTCCTTTTATGCATGAATTATTGTCCTAGTTTTCAGTATTTTTTTAAATGGAATAATTTGTGAATGTAGACGTGAAATTTTATGTGTCGAGAGAAAAAGAAGTAGAAGTCTGTGTAATCTACCATGGTTGCATAAAATTTTAGGGGCGTACTCACTTATGATGCCATGCCTAGTTTTTTTGTTTTGTTTTGAGAAGAAACCTGAATGTATTAAGAACATAAAGGAGAATAGCCCAAGGGCTGGGGGTAGTTACCCCACCTACAAGAAAAAAAATTAAAGAAGAGCTTTTCAGTTGTTCACAATTGGAAAGACTGTAATTACAAGGGATTTTTTTGTGATTGAGACACCACCAAGAGAGGTGAGATGTATACTCCTACAAAAAATTTCAGAAGAAGAAACCTTTCTTTTAAAGTGTGACGATTCCTTTCTAACCAAATATGCCAAATTAGCGCTTTAGTTGCACAGTTCTTCGCTCTTAAGGGAAGATTTCAACCGACTAGGACTTCCACCAACCAAGTATCTATTTGTTTAGGAAAACAAATAGAGATACAAAGATATCTGTCAAAGAAGACCAACCTTAGTTGAACACTCATGATCGTTTACAGAAACACTGCCCAAATTGGATGATTTCTCCTTCTGTTTGTCTCTTTTGTTTGAGGAGTGGAGAAACCTTAGACCACATCTTCTTTACAATGTTCTTTTGTTGAAAAGGGTTGGCACTTTCTGTTCAATTTCTTTGGCCTTTCTTCTTGCATGCC